CATGGAAGGAGTGTTGCAGAGTGGAATCGACGTTGCACACGAATCCCGTTGCTACACCAATATGACGCACACACATGTTGCAACTATTGAAGCGATACACTTGACGAGAACGCCATATCCGCGATGCACGCTTTTCTCACCAGCAGGAATTTTGTGTCATGGGGAAACCTGCTCAATTGCCACGTGTGAAGTGACGGATTTGCTCGATCTGGATACCATAGCCTCAGTGGGAACTGGAGCTGTGTGCAGTTGGGAGGATGGCACAACGGTCCGCATCACCTTCGGTCCAGGTATGTTAAGGCCGCAACCGAACTTATTTGTCGTCTGTTTCATACCTTAAGGACGTCTACCCTGGCGGTGTGCTCGATGACTCATACTTCCAATGAGCCCGATGCTTAGCGGCATTCTCTCGTGCGTTGGTCCACCAACGTTTTGATGGAGAAACAACAACTCGTTTTCTCTACGCGTGTAGGCAATACGTATTTTAAAATGGAAAGGTCGGTTTCCGCCAAAGGTATTGGCACCGATAGATTACAACACCAAGTTGGCGTGCGTTCAGCTGCTCGTCCGACCTATCGCCCACAGCAAGGGGTTGGAACACAAATCGTGGGATTGCGGAGCGGTAGGGTTGGTAACTCCGACAGGACCGTCTTCAGGTTGAAACAGGCTTATGCGTGAGACGTGACCGAAATTTCAAGATCATTCCCGATGTACCGCATTCGTCCACATTGTACGCCCCCTCTTAGGCTCCACCTTGGCAGAGAATAGCACGGTGGTTCTCAACAGCGAATCGGAGTACATCTCTGGGTGCGCTACGTGCACGGAATACTCTTCAGGTGACGATTTTCTCGGTCTTCGTCCGTCGGAAGCCCTTCAGGAAAGGTGTTATTATAGAGTACCGCGGCTGGTTTTACAAAAAGGAATACACACAGATGTTGTCTAGTTCTCGTTCGACTTTACGTGCGAACTCGACGTCGTTTTTTTTGCGCTTCAAATTCGTTTCCATGGGCAACATATGCCAACAGGTTCCACTACTGTAAAGGCCCGGGATTCACCACCAGAGCTCTCAGCTGCGCAGTTCACCGACACAGGAGCACAGGTGCATGAGCGGAGAGGGAATGCAACATTAGTAGACCCTTGCGGATATGTCAAGCAGTCACAGGCCATGGGGAGGCATTACGCGGAACATGTGTACGAATCTTGCTGAAATGTCGAATGAGCGCGGATGCTTCAGAAAGGAAATATTTTGGGATGAAGTGTGAGAAGAGAATGCATTGGTGAAAGCACCTTATGGCGTGCTGGTGTCGCACCTCAAGCCTGCAAACCACCTAGATGGGCCCGTATCCGCCGCTCTTGTTTAAAGCAAAATCGAGTTCGTTGCTCGCGGAGCAGGTGATCGTCGACTTCACAGGCAACCCATCTTCTCAGGAAATCAACGGTACATTCAGTTCGGTCTCGTGCGAGTCTGTCTTTTCCGCTGCCTCTGCGTCAACGCTCGGAATCGGCAGCACCTGCCAATTTTCGTCCAGCTCAAGCATTAAGGTGCTGTCGAGGAACGTGCCGAGCGAGGTAGCAATTGCGCATTGTGCCGATACCCACGGTAGGGGTCAAGGTGGCTTCTGTTTAGGGCGATCCTCCGGGTCGTCGCCTTACGAGGACAGACCGCTCTCACAAATTAGGTACGGCATCCTCTGGTCACTCGTGCGACACTACCGACCATAACGCGCTCGCAGTTTAAAGCAGTAAACTGATGCTCGTACTGCTTTGATCCCATGATGCTTCCTCCGGCGCCTAGGTGACGCTTGGAGTGCTGTCGACCATTGTTCCCTCTTCGAGTGACGCCTGCACGGATGGCGATGGTACGTCGCTGACACTGCTCGCCGGCGTGGTTCGAACCGAGGTATAACAGCGTTTGTGACGCATGTCACAAAACACATGTCGCTCGGTATGGTGGACAACAAAAGTGCTCGCTACTGTCCAGCGCCCGAAATAAAGGAAAAGCACGAGATCGATCGCATTTTCAGATAATAGGATCACGATGCATGGTTTATTCAATGTCTCATGGAGGAATACCAACGTCTCGTGAAACAGGGCATTGAGACTATCTTGGGCCCTTCTTTGTACACTATTCCGCGCCCTCTATCGTCGCCCTCGTTGTCGATGGCAGATTGGGGCGTTTCTGACCACATCCGCCGGATGCGTTGTGGTCGACTTTCCTGCCAACCCAGACCCACCGTATGTGACTATCAGTGCACCCAGCGCCATCGGGTACTGCGACGATCTCACTTTGGAGGGAAGTGCTACGTCAGCGTCGATAGGTACAGTGCGAAAGTGTGTACAGCGTCGCGATACCTGATCGTTTCTTTCGTGTGGTGTGTAGATTTGCTCAATTAATTCTCCCCAACGCTCCAATATTCTCCCTAGGCACCACCAACGTGACCTGGGAAGTCGCACTAGCTGGAAACGGCCAAATCGCCGATATTTCCAACGTCACGAGACATGTAGAGGAGGTGAGCGCCCAGGAATGCTCACAATTAATCGGTTCGATGGAGGCTTCCTCTTGGGTGACCTCTGGCACCTCGCCGCGCGAGGAAAACGGGAAAATGGGTTTGCCTGCGGAGTATCGATCGTACGACCCCATTTCACAATAATATATTCTTTCTCCAACGCCCCCTTCAACGTTTCGGCTTAAACCAGGCGAGCTTGGAGAAGTATCTAACAGTCAGGGTTCCAAGCGAGTACATGGCACAAGGCCTTTCATATCAATTTGTACTTCGGGTGGAAACGGCACTTGGGGGATCCTCGACAGCAGAGGTGGAAGTTTTCAAATCGCCTGCGGAGTTGCTGCTGTCGAAGGTGAACGATAGAGGACGCCTCACTCTGCGGATCGCTTCCGCGCCTTTCACGCGGACAGCGAGTTTGCGCGATCTTATCTACTGCCGGGCGTTTCATGTGTAGTACTAGACAGATACCTTCGGCTCTGGATATGGGATCGCCCACGTACGGCCACCCCACCCCTGCTCATCGAAGATGGACGTATTCGCTTCCCTTTCCGCCACCTGAAGACATGAGGGATTGACTGACGTCCGCTTCTCGCGCGTCCTGTGGTGCATGTACTCTTCTTTCGGACCAGATTGTGGGATCATCTGTTCTGCAGCGGACGCGCGGAAGTGCAATAACCCTTCGGAGCGAAACTGCTACATCTACCTGTTCAACCACAAACACCGAGGAGGCCTTCGCATCATTTTCATGGAGTATTACATCAGCAAACGAGTCGTTTGCAAGGGGGGTGGATGTTTCGCTGGGCGTCGGCAGGGACCCGCGCGTGCTCGCTATTCCTTCCTACGCCCTGGGCTATGCAGGGAGCTCGTACCAATTTCAGTTGAGGACATCTTTCGGTGGAATCTCTAGTACCGTCAACGCAACTGGTGAGGCCAGGGGAAAGTGATGCCGGGGCTGCCAAATAGACAAGATTGGCTGGTTTAGATCTAGTACTTTGACATGCAAGAACCTGGTCTTTTCTTTGCCACGCACTGTGTCCAATGAAGGGGCAACACTGGGCGGACGTAGCTATCTCTCGAGAGGCCGAATCCTCACAAGGAGAACATGCCGTTCAGAGTGAGCCGTTGAGCAGTGTATCAGCTCCCACAAACATTCATAACTTAATCTTGGCATATGACTGGGACCCAACCAAACGTACCTCGTCGGCACCTCTCGCCGGTACCGCATTTTCCGGCCATGCCCAACGGTTCAGTCGAAGTGGTCAGCGGAGCTGTAGTCGCGGCTATCGCCGGTGGCTCGAGCCGAAGAATCGGAGTCTCGCAGGTAAGTTGAGGAACAGAACTAGGTCTGCCGCCCTGGTCCGTCTCTAGCGAGCGCATATGAGAGCATCGAAACGATGTTGAGTTCCGCGGGGATGACTTCCAAGCAGTGGTCAAGAACGACCAACGATTTACGCCCGTCAACAAGGGAGGGTCCGATACCAATCGTTCCCAGGCTCTGCAACTGGATGCATCGGCATCGGTGGATGATGACGACATTGCTACCATCCCGTTCGATTTCACTTGGCGCTGCGAGAGCCAATCTGGTGATATCTGTATTTCTGGGACAGGCCAAACCCTGAACATTTCGTCGAGCGAAAACGAGGCCATCCTCTCCATCCCAGCGAACTCTCTTCCCACAGGTACGCTGATGAAGGTTACCACCGTAGCATGCTATTCGATGACCACCGAACACTTTCCGTTGGGACCCCAGGTTTCATCCCTGTAAGAGAAATTGCGGACTGCCGCTATTCGCTGTGAATGCTGTTCCTTTGACTCACCGCCGGAGTCACTTTGTTGCGCCTCTTCCTCGTTGGCCAGGTGTTGAGTACGTCTTCTCAGTCACCGTGTCGAAGGGATCGAGTGGTGGACCAGCATGGTCGCAGCGCCGGAGTGGGAACACGTCGTGCACTGTTTCGACGTCGTCGGTAGACGTCCCTGTCGTCGCCATTAATCCGAAGGTAGGAACATCGGCAATAACCTTTCTATCGAGACGCAAGGCATGGATTGACGTTTATTTTGGCTTTTTGAGCGAGCTACCAGTTTCCACCGAGTATCGGAAAAGGCGCTTGGTGGACACGTTTATATTGCAACTACATCCTTGTGAGCATCCGGCGATGCACAACTTCGGGTAATCAATGCTCCCGTTCTGATGGCACGCGTCCTACAAATGCTTGCCTTGGTTGTCTCAGGAGGTCCGCCGAAAGTACAACCCTTCAAGTAGGGTAGTACTGTACGGGTGCGCCGCTGCATCATTGGAAGATCGGTGCCGCAATAGTTCTACGGCGGGATTCGACTTCAAGTGGGATCAGGTGCTCCATGACGTGTGGTGTGGTTTTTGCAGTTGATGAGCGTCCGGAACAGAACATTCAATTCACAGGTCTATGGCGTGTCAAGTCTAGAAGTGGAGGTTGACAAGCGGCAGGTCGCTCACCGGATAAGGAACTTGCATGACCCTCATGAGAGCATTGACCACCACGCCCTGACGTGCGTGTTCAGGTAGACAGCAATATAAAAGAAGAAAACTGGGAGGACACATTCAGCACGGAGCCCAGCCATCCAACGCAGGTCGTACGGCCCGGATCGCTTTCTCCCGGTCGAATCTACACCTTCTCCCTAGCGGCGACCGACTCATCGGGCAGTACTGGCTACACAGGCGAGTCTTCCGCAGATTTAACCAAATTTGCACTTCCAAGTACTCACATTTTCTCGGTCACAAGTGTGTCACGCCCGCAAGAGCTACCTCATCGACGGGCCAGAGTATTTTCCCGAATGTCTCTTGGAACACGTTGCAGAGTTTACCTTCGAGACAAACGCCCCACCGGTCGGGGGATACGTCCTCTCGGATATCCTTCGAATGACCTCTGGAGAGGACAAGGCACTCCTGCAAACCGCAGGCTGGGTAGATGACGTTGGCGATCTTCCCATGGCCTACGAGTTCGGCTACGCACACGGCCGGCTCGAAGTACTCTCCGTCTCGAGGTGACAAGCACCGCGATTTATGTCCACCATTTTGGTTGCCGTGAGTCAATGGTGTGATGGCGACTTCAGGTTTGCCCAAATATCCCATGTACGACGTATGTGATTGCTTTGGGTGATATGAAAGGCCTGCTCCGAAAGCATCCTGTGCATCCCCTATATATAGTGATATGTTGTGTATGTGATCCCTCTTCCTGCTTTATTCGCTGACAGCGAGCTCTGGGTGACTATGCTGTCTTCTGGGGCATCCTACTCGAGCTGGCTACACACACATTTGCCACCGGGGACGGCATCCGACGGGTATAACATGACGGTGGTGGCGCATGTCTCCGATGTCCTCGGCTCTACTGCTGTCACGAGCCTTGGCGCTGACAACGAACCCCTGGTGCTCGTGTCATCTCCGCCAGACCAGGTGCGGGTGACGTGTTTTCGAGGGTTAGTTATTATGCACAACCGTTGTGAAGTGGAATCGAATTCGATATATGCCGCCGTTTTCGGCTTGTTACCCTGTATAAACCGTCCACATCTCCTGCTGTAGGTGGATACCTTTTTTCCAGCAGCAACGTTGCAGAGCGCGAGTTCCAAATGAACTCAAAATTGTGTGACGAAGACTGCCAACATTCCAAACGTGATACAATAAATCAAATCACCTTTCTTTGCAGGTTTCCCTCTCGTCCTTGCGAAAAAATATATCTTCCCTCTCAGATCAACGAGGGTCCCTGGTCGATCCTGCTGACAGTTTGAGGGAGGCGGCGATGTTTTCCGCCATTTTGGAATACGTTCCACAGCCCGACACGCCAGAGGAATTCGCTGAAATAATCGAACTTAAGGTGAAACACACTTTTAAGTTTGATGGTGGTGCAGACCTCCCGTTCTATTTTGTCAGAGATTCTTTGTCGAAACATCGTTGCGGAATACCACCAATATTTGTGATGATATCGTTGGACCCTACTTATTGTGATGGTTTCTCGAAGTACCGTGGTGTCCAAGCGTGTAACATGCTTCGGGTTGTTGGCGGAGACCCGAAAGGCGCACGCGTTATTGGTTGGATCCGTATGGGTTTTAGGAGGATGAGAAGACCAGAACGTTTTCTTGTGGAGACAACGACTGTCCCGCAAGAACAGCCACGAAAACGACGACGACAACAACAACAACAACCACGATCGCAGTGCATGTTCGAGAAAAAGCGGATCCTATGTTTCATTTCGAATGGAAACTGAAAAGCAACCGCTTTACGTGGCCTTTTTGCCAGGAAACTATCGTCGCGACCGTGGTGGAGACCTACTTTGCACTTGAATCCACCACCGCAGCAGTAAGGGCAGGTGCCGAGACCCTAGCGGGGGTATTCAAATCCAGCGCGGTGAGATTCAACATCGTAGTGTCAAATTTGAGTACTGGGCGCAGAAATCGTTTCCCTCTCTCGGTGATATGGACTCCTACGGCCTTCGCTCCTTTTCGGGACTTGAACCTTGTGAACGGAAAAATGTTGGACGAAAAGTTAGAATATTTTCCTTGAACTTAGGCGAAGTCGGTTGGACGCTCTTTGCACACTTGGCGTGTGATGCCTGCTAACCCCGCCGTCCAGATCAACGTGAAACTGTTTCGAATTGGCATCCTTCTTCCTCGTTGCAATTCTGTCTCTAGGAGAGTGGATCAATTAGCGATGCAGCTGCAACTGTGGTATCGGAGGCTGCAGGAGATATGATCGAACGTTCGGCGCTCGACGGACAAGTACCGGAGTCCGGCACAGCAGTCTCACTTTTGCAGGTGGGCACGTTGCTGTTCAATCATACGATGCTTTCACTTTGATGCCCGCACATTGAACTGTACATGCCGTTCACAAAAAGAAAATCGTAGTCCTCCATCTGTGAATGGAGTCCGCGTTTTTTCCGCGAAGAACCAGGGGACTTGGTCGGAATGCAAGTCACTCGGCAGTGCTGTATTGATACAATGACCACCACCAGCATGGTGACGGTCGCCCCGGTGGTCTAGTGGTATCCTCGTAAACTGCTAGTCGCAGAGGTCGTGAGTTCGCATCCCCATGGGGAAAAAAATTACGAAATGTGCGGGTGAAAGCGAAGTATGGCTGACAAGCTCTCGTGAGTACCAAACTTCGACGATAGCACCGTTGACGAGGGAACGGGACGGCTGGACCCTTCTCGCGGTAAAAATAACATTCAACACGCACCGCAGGAGGAAGGTGGGGCATGAAAATAAATTAAAAGAGAAAAATGCCCTGGTGTTTACCCCCTCCCGTGTGACCCTGGATGGTTGTAGTTGTACGAAAAAATACACTTAAAAGGCTAGTGCTCTACATTCGCTGAAAAGTGAAGTTTACGTCTCACCACGAAAAATGGGGTGACTGTCGCCATAACAAATACGACGAACCCCCCCCCCCCACACACACACACACACCATGGCTTTCGTTCTACTTTTCGCTGCAGATTGTTTCTGTCCTCTTGAGCGCGAACGATTCATCCTCAGAGACGGAAGTGTCCTTGGACCTCGTTGTCAGCCTTGGGAAAGCTGTGGCCTTCGGATCCGAGGCAGGGGAAGATCTGGACCAGATCAGCGCCGAATCTCTCGACCTTCAGGTACGTCGGCTGAGGGAAATAATCAGACTGGTGAAATATACCTCCGTGTTGTTGCTGTGCTGCTTGTTTTCTCCATTATGATCACGTGAGCATCGGCTATACCTCATGTGATGTCGGTGCGGAAGACATGCATCAACAGGTGAACCAACGAACCGGTTGACGACATCACCGCAAACCAACAAGGCATCATTTTCGAGTGGTGCAGGGGATAGTGGGTTCGACTGCTCAGTTTGCACGGGGGGCCTCCGCGACGTTCAGTCCCCCGTGGGTAGAGCCAAGTAGGACCTCCCAATATCCAGCGCCAGGCTTGTTTCCAAAATCGCACAACAACCCGAAGTGGGTCTGCACCTGCACTCATGAACCACCACACATCTATCAATTTTTGTGCAAGGCGTCTCGATCATCCATTGATAAAGTATGAAACAATATATGGTATCCGGTACGTCATGGTCTATACCCTTCAGGACAAAGCACAATCGACCAGGGTTGAATGATCTGCGTTTTTTCGTGAAATGTGTTCTTTGTTTGCATGTACCTTGCGTCGGGATTAGCCAGCAACAACGGAAGGCGTCAAAGTAGGACCAGTACAGATGTTAGAAGGTACTTAGAGAGCGATCAATGACCCAGCGCATGGATAGCATGACTCCTGTAAGAAATCCGAAGAAGGTAGTTTTTATCATTCTTCCACTTCCTCTGGCCACATGTATGTCGGGTCTTCCACACCTTCTAAAGTTGTTCTAAAACACCCATGGGACACCCATGACCAGCTCATGGGTCACCCTTGTGTCGCCCATGAGTACCTTGTTGCTCATGGTTGACTCATGGGCGGCCCACATGGGTGGCCCATGGGCGGCCCATGGGCAACCCATGAGAAGCCCATAGGCGACCAATGAGTGCCCTTCAACCGAACCAGTGTACTTCTAAACAATAGATAATCTGCATTGGAACGGGCACCATATCTAACCTCATTGCCCTGAAGCGAACCCCAAGCCCACACGATACGTGCTATGTTGGCGCTGGCGGCTTATGTTCTACAGGTTGACGTGCAGGTGGAGAAGTTCTAGTTTGATATGCTGGTGGCGAGGTTCTACGTAGGGCAAAGTACCCACGGTGGTCACTTCATGGGCGGTCCATGAGTGACCCATGGGTGTTCCATGGGCGGTTTAGCAAAAGTGACTGTAGTGTGGGAGATTGTGTGTGTCCGGGGTCCCAGGGGCTAAATACGACCCCCGCGCCCTGGGCACTCCGAAAAGACAAAAAAAGAAAAATACTTGTACATACAGTAGTCATGCCACGTTGGAGGGTGTATTTCACGCAATGCTCGTGAACACGTGACGAGTGATTATCAACGTTCACCCTGAACCCATGTTCTATATCTTCCCCTGTTCCGAACTTTTTTTCTTTAATCGATGGGACAACCAATACGCGAGTGGAAGGAGCACAGTACCGAACAGAGTGAAGCAAATTCGGCTCGAAAGTGTAACCAAATGTCAGTTCGGTATCCACCTTACACTCCACGTGGAACGCTACAAAGATTTTTTATCTTTGCTGGCTGCTCTTGCCCATGTCTCCGTTTCCCTATCGCAGGCCGCAAAGATCTCCGAGGCTTCCATCCACGAGGCCTTGCTCAATGTTGGCAACAACGGAACCAGGGTTTCGTTTGAGGGGTGGACGCTACCGCCCCATGTCGAAGTCAATTCCACCGTCGTCGTAGCGGTTGCGTCTCTTGCCATGTTCACATCTGAAGGTAATGTTGACTTATACTCAAGCCGGTGCTTTCAACACGAAAGCGGAAGCGGTTTGTAGTGAAGTTGACTGGGCGGGCACGAGGGACGCACGCCAGTGCGGATGGACTCGGGGCGTCGGTGTCACTGCTCGAGAAAGCGGAGAGCTCCTTCAAGGCAGTGTAAAAGCACATTTCCCATACGTAGGCGTGTCTGGGTGAAGGCCATTACGAATGTTGCGTAACCTCGACTCCACGTGTCGATTTTTCCACCCCTGCAGGTCTAGCAAGCGTGACGTCAATTAATGCGTGGGACACGACTGGCGAGGGCTTGCATGAATTCGAGTTTCCAATCTCCTTTACTGCCAGAACAGAGGTGAATCCTGCTGTGTTCACGTTGGTTGCTGGCCTTCCGTTCACCGAACCACCTTGCCTGAAACTTCTACGATGTTGCATGTAGTCTGGAGGAGTGGAACAAACATATTTGAGGCCGTAGGCCAAAACATCCGAAGTTCGGGTTGCAAACACTCAGGAACAACATTTTTGTCGAGGCCCTGGACAACAACGATCACTGGACACATCGAATCCCGTGCTGATATGGTCAGCGCCTGACCAGCTGTCACACATACAGATGCTGAGAATTCCCCTACGACCGTTCTTGAAAGAAGGCCAAACTCATGCCGGGACTGTTTCAAACTCGATTTCCACCTCCAGGGCGCGGAAGAACGGAGGTCACGTGAAAATGTGCCGGTTTGCGTGTCATTGGCAAATAAATGCCGGCAAACAATGGGTAACAGATGGCATTGCCGTGGACTCATTTCATGCCTCGCGGGATGCGTCCACCGAGACAGCGTGCGAGACGTACCACTTGAGCCCTTTTGCGTTGGCGGTGGAGGAGGGTCTGTCCACTGAGTGGGTCACTGCCGATCTTATCCCAGGCTCAGGGGTCTTGAGACAGGTTCGACAATAGTTTTCTTAGCGTGTTCAGCCCAATGCAAACCTAGACATTATTGAACACGTTGCACTGGTCGCAACAAACCGGGATATGTTGCTCGTTGTACATAACTGTATCTGCTGCCCATATGCCACCACAATAGCGCGCAATCCCACTGCTTGTTCCCCTGTCTACCCACGTGCGTAGTATGGAGCTGAAAGCTGGCCAGCCATCCTGTTCTTAATGTTGGTTGGTAGTCTCTTCCTGGTGCCGGCCTTCCTGTTGCACAAGGAGGTGAGTCGATCGAGGGGCAATTTGACATATGAAGCGGGGTTAATTGACACTTATCAAGGACCATGATTGGCGTTCTCTTTCACTCATGAGTTGTTCCCTCTTCGAAAACGTTAGCCTCGCTTCCTCAAGAACTCTCCTCGCAAGGCGGTTTTCCGAGGAGTGTCGTGCAGCACGCGCTGCGAACAATATTGTTCCCACGATGGTTTCATTTCAGCCCCCCGAACCTCAAAAGGCAACCATCATACGCCTACAAAATAAACAACACACCTTCCGCACACCATGTGCTCCTCGTGCCAAGGAGCAGTGGCGAAGGTTTCGTCTGTGTTGCATGCAATGCTTTTGAGACAATTGCTGACTCATGTCATGCAACATGGAGGACCCTGCAATCTCCGACCTTCTTCCAAAGGGGCTTCAACCTAAGCGTCTCGCTCTCCCGTCTACCACGCCAAAATCTGAACATGCGACTCATTTTACCCCAGGATGCCAAGCACGGTCAAGTCTCCCACTACGACCAAACTCTTCGAGAGCTATTCCTGACCAGAGGCCGCTGTTCCCGAGAAGACCAACCAGTCCAAATTCGGGTACGGTCGGGGCGGAAACCGATCACTAGGCCATGGTTGATTCAAGTCGGGGTTGCAGGACGTGTTTCCATGTGCCTGAATGTGCACTTTGCATGGTGTCGTTGGTCCATATTTTGTACCGTGTTTCATCAATTGGGTATGTGGGTCATGCTTAGCCATGACCCATCATTGGGTGACCAGGTCATGACTCGGTCATTATCGGGTCATGCCAACTGTAGCTCGTGATCACGGTCACGAGCTAACCCAGAAATATCACTCATTGGATCTTTGGAACTTTTGCCAAATCCAACAACGTGAAACGCCTCTACAATGTCGAGTGACGCTGCTAGATTCGGGAAAGAGAACGAAGGGCGCATCAAGAGGTGAACAAGAACAATCAGCTCGATAGCGGCTACCCCCGTGTCCACAAGATATTCAGATCAACGCAAAAGGACCATTTGGCAAAGGTGCGAAAAGCCATTGTTTGACGTGGCTTGCGCAGGGGTCAGAAAAATGTCACGTCGAAAGCGCAGGGCTATTGTTCGCTCCACCGCAATAGGCCCGTCGCCCCGGTGGTCTAGTTGGTATCTTCGAAACCTCCTAGGCGTCAGGCCAGGGGTTTGAATCCCGGCGGAAGCGAGCTTTTCGTACAAAGTGAGTTTTTCTCTGCTCCCGCTCCTGGACTAGTGGAAAGCGCTACTTCGTGTGTACACAGAGGGAAGAGAGTGCTGAACTCTTCTCGCATTAAAAATCGAAGGTAACGTACCACAGGAGGGGAAGGTAGAGAAGGGCCCTTCTGTGTGACCACGGATTGGAGTCGTCTAAACGGCACTATCAATTGTGCTGTGAGCGCTAATTTGAAGTGAAGCAAAAAAAATTTCGTTGCTCCATCAATCTGGAACTACCTATGTTTATCGTGCGATGCTGTCGGATTTGTATTCTTAACGCAGACAATTGTTGGCAGCGTGCTCATGAACCATGCGTGGAGCCATCTTCGGAGCTCTCCTACAACTCACTTCAGGAAGACTCTGCTCACAAGGTCAGGGCTATGAAAAATTTCTCTTGCTGGATGTGTCGTGTGTATGGAAAGGAAAAACGGCTGCCTCCGCGATCATATCACCCGTTGCTCTCCCACCCCACTGAAAATGATCCGTTGCGTACCGCTCACGTTCTACAGGTCGCAACACCTTGTTCTTCTCCTAGCCGATTGGATGAGCGCGGTGGCACTGCAGGCTGTATTCTACGGAAAGAGCCAATTCAGCATCCGAAACAAGGTGGTGGTCAACTATCTGGCTACCGTTTCAACCCCTCGCGCCGTTGTACCCTCATTCGCACACGGATGAGGGTCGGACTTCAGTTAGTTTCGCTTTTGATGTCATGGCAGGCTACACTATATGGTTCGTGTGAACGGACCGGGTACAGAAGATGTTTTCAAGGTTGGCTCGTGTTGATCTCGCGGACACTCGCCACGTTTTGTTTACTGTAATAGGCACTGCAGTCTTTGAAGCAGATTATTTCGACGTGACGTATCGAGCGATTTATTTTTCTGGTAAACCCCCCTTCATGTACTTCTTCGCACCACTCTCAGCCATTCTGCCATGTGCACACATCACTTGCCGCGTTTTCACCCTATTGCCAGGCACAAATGACGGTGACGACAGCGCTCTTCATGATCCCGACAGCTCTGGTGTTTCCCTTCTTGCTGAGGAAGGCCAATACGCCTCCCATCTCGGAAACCGTAATAAAGGCGGGACGGTCTCGACACGATGCCCCATTTAAGGAGAATTCGCGCAGACATGCCCAGCACGGCGTCTTGGGGCACCACCATCCGCCGGACAAGAACACACCGCGTGATGAGCAGCAACCAGCACGTAAGTAGCGGTAGTGATACCTCCGTCGCACTTGTGCCTACCCGGAAGCCGGCGCATGCACGGAGCGAAGAGGTGCTGATAGAGAGCGCCCACACCACAGTACTCCCTCTGTCTAGGAACGTAAGGTCGATAAGGACAAAATACTGTCACCACCTCGAAGGCTTGCAAGCAAGAGGTCAGTGGTACGGTACGACGGTACGTTTCCCGCTGAAAACACCTCGTTTACTTCCAACAAAGCACTTAATTGTTTCAAAGAAATATTTCTTCCTTTCGTTTCTATTCGTCCAAATGCCTCGTTTTCGCCACCCTGACGTTTTGATCCTGGTCAAAAACAACGACAAAGGATAACAATTGAGAACGGTGGTCTATTGATAGCTTAAGTCGTCAAAATTACAAAGCAGCAAAATCCGGAAAAATTCTTTTTTGGGGGCCGTACGGGAGAAGGAATCACAAGAAACATTCCTTGCAATTTTCGCTGGCGACCATTGCAGGAGTTAATTTTCTCAGGGGAGGGGATTATACAACATTATCCCCGAGTTTTTTCCCCCAACGAAGCGCCATCCGGTCCGAGCATCATGGAAAAAAAGAAACTCAAAAGGAACACCAATAACGGAGTACACCGACTTTATATTCGGGACATCCTCATCGACCTTGTATTCCTGGACGGAGGGAGTATATAGTATACCAGTTACTACTGCCTTTTCGTGACGTGCCGTTGTGGTGATAAAATATCATGCAGCCCTTGTGTGGTGAACGCCAAGGCGTTGCATGTTGCGGAGGGGGTCGCATCCCTCGCACGCCTGGAAAGTTTACCGATGGACTAATGTAAGATCCGACTGTGCATCCCGGCATCTTAATTCTCATGTCAATGTGTTGCACCACCATACGGTCTTGTTGCCATCAAGCAGTGTCCACGAAACGGAGCAGTGTCATCCGTGGAACGGTCGTGACGAATATCACGCTTCAGGATCCACCAACGTTGGCGAGACGCAGGTACGTGCTTCGAACCGCAAATGAAAAGTATAACGTATGACCGCTCCAGAGATCATCATTCTCCGAAGTATGACCTTCAGAAATCCAGTTTGGTCCTATCCTAGAGCGGGCTCTGGCGTGGAGAGGAACATTCCCTGGTCTCTGCCATGCTCCCCGCGAAGAATCTTTTCGATATTATTTTCTTCACATCTCCGATGGCTGTCCTTCGACACGAACATCTGCTGCTCTTTCTCGCAGGGAGAGGAAACCGAGCGCCTTTGTTCAGTCGCCAACTGTAGTCGAAAGCATCAGCGGAGTTAGTGCCAACAAGACCGCCGTCTACCGAGATATCATCATGTGGCAACGAGTGATAGTGGCTCTATGCCTGATCCTACCGGTGTGGATGGCCGCCGTATTTGTGCCAATGGTGAGCAGGACCCCGACAGTAGCCTATGTCGTAGCAAACGACCCATCGAAACTTTAGACTTGAGCTCTGCTTGAGATCCGGACTGATCTGCACAGTTTCCAATTTGTTTTTCGACCTGGTCGTTAGCGGTATCGGGGGCAGTGTGCCACGACAAACTCGTGATGTCAATAGCAAACAATATTCTACAGACCTCTCTTCTATCAGTCAGCGCTGTCGTGGTGCAGAGGTCCAATATGCTACTTACCCCTGAGGAAACTTTGAGGTAAGTACCAGCGGAACAAACAGT